ACCTTTACCCATAATTTTATGAAAAATAGGTCACGTGATGGCTTAGCTGCAAAGGGCCTATTGGGCTCCTGGGTAAAGACAATAGAAAAACCCTCATCGGGACGCCCACCAAAAGGTGACCGCGTCCGCTTAGTAGATGTGGCCGGTTATTAGGGGTTTCATTTGCAGTATTTTACCGACAGTAATATCGGGACTTTGATAACTAGCCGCTAAATACTGAGAAACGGGTGGCCGCCTAATAGAGGTTCGACTGTATAATAATTGGGTAAAATCGTTTGTCTCACGATGCGGTCACTTGTGATGCAGATCTGCCAGTCTTCATGACGATGAGGTAGATTGGGTATGTGCCACACCTGTAAAGGACGATGCTCAGCTGTAATTGGTTGGTTTTCAACAGCTATGATTGGCGCATTTCGATCCTCGCTGTTTCATTGCGCTGTTCCTCGACGGTCTGTTTCTTGATTGTAGCCTGCCCCTGAATTTGTTTTCCACTATCCCTGTTGATATTGTTAACTTAAAGTCTCATGTGAATCACCTCTGATCCTGCCCGTGTGTCAGCGAAGATAACGACCAGTAAACTAAACTTCATTCCAAAGGCGGGGTGGTGCACTGTTGCGAGAGCGCGCTAAAACGGCGGGGGTCTGGGAACGGGCGAGTCGGATGTGTCGGTCATGATCTCTTATTTTATCTTGCACAGCTCGCCGGTGTAGGCTTACTCCTTACTGAAGAAGACAAAGAAGATTCTATCACAGCTGCTTTTCAGCGCAGCCGGGGAAAGAACTGAAATCATAGAGAGTCTGGTTCGAGTGAGTGTCATCCGGGTTCCACGAGTACCAAATATGGAGCTTGTGACGTAACGTATTCTTAAAAATTTCATATCGTCATTTTTGTTTTGGTCCAAGGAAGTTGCTGAAATTGCGGATTTCGAGAGTTAGTCAACAGATAAATAGAAAGGGTTTTTACCCGTTTTCTCGCCCTCTAAAAGCATTGTTTAAGATTGAGGACACTTGTAAGGTATTCAGATGACCGACAAGGTCAAAGTGAAAGCAAGATCCAACGCCTTTACTCGGCGATTTGAGATAAACTCGTCTTCATCTTGGGATGACCTCGAATTGCAAGTGGGTGATTGCATTGACGAAACTCATTTGGTTCTAAAGTCAAGAACCCTACAGATTCTTAGTGAGGTCTTAAGATTTCGATCTGACCACTACTCTTCTTGATTTTTTTTCATTTAGATCAAGGAACTCTTTGATGTGCAAGACTTCACGTTGAAATACATTGACGATGAAAACGAGCTGGTAAGCTTATGTAAGCTAGTGCTTTCACTTCAGTAAACATAGGGGATGGAAGGATAATCAGTTGAAATTTTAATTGCTCATAGCTGTGATGCAGCCCATAATCTTAGTATTGGCTTTCAGTTGATAAAGCCTCGATTTATAGTGTAAAACACTGGTCTCCTATTTAGCGACACTGGAATATGGTTTCGATTGATCAATGTTTTTGATGACAGTATTCTTTTTTGTCCTCTTAGGTCACATTGGGAACGCATGGTGAGTAGAAAAGATCGCACTGTTCCCTCAAATCCCTTCTAATTGTATTATTAAATAACATATAAGCCTATTTACAACATTTACGACTCCGAGCAAGTCTTATTACTGCTCATATATATTAAATTGCTAAACTTTCATTTTTAATTCGGACTACTGTATCTCCCCTTGTTTACTAAAATTTCAAGTCGTTTGGCCTTATTCCAACGTATGGTTCTGTTTTCATTCTCTTGATATTTTCTTTTTTTAAAAATTTCAAATCTACTCTCGTGTTTGTTGCCTGTGCCACTGATGTAATATTGGAAAACATACATACAAAACAGCTTGTTATTTTTAACCATTGCCTGTTCATTTTTAGCTTAATCCCGTATATGATTCAACAAAGGAGTATCTCTAGTGTCATAATGAAAAATATTCATAGAATTAAAGTCATGCATAAGCGATTGGACTGAAGCAATCAGTTTTTATCTGGCTAAGCAACTCTGGGCAAATACTGACTCTGGAAAGAGAACAGAAATGTGTGCTAATCATTATAGATACGCTTTCCATTCCCCTTTTAGCTTGGTTAGTATACAATGTTGGTATGAACCATCTCCCTTTCAGAGCTTTTGTCCAATAAGGCGACTGTTATATTTATACGAGAGATATAAACCACAGAGATGCCAAGATAAACAAGTACATGAACTAGGAAATTGTAGAGAAACTGACAGACCAAAACACAAACCTCTGCTAATTTAAGTAAAAAAAAATTCAACTTACATGTCCCTAGTCAGCTCCAAAAGTCAGCTAAAATGCGTATAAATCACATACTTTAAGCATTATTGTGGTATCTAGGGGATTTGTTAACTCATCCCAGAGTCTAGGGTATTAGGTCTGTTTCCAGGAGATTCTTATTAAGCTGAGAGAATTGAAAGTTCTGAAATGGGAATAGGCTTTTGTTACTTTTAGAAATAGGGACATCAGTCTAGTATTTTAGAAAGTTGCGTAAAATCAGTAAAAAATTCAATATTTTATTTATTGATTTTCATTGTAGGTGAACTAGAAGAAGCTTTGAAGGTAAGCTTTAAAAACATTGTAGCAGTGGCGTAATGAGTGTTCTTAACGTTTCATTGTCTGCACTGTTGATTGGATTTTATTTGTGTTCACAAGTTGTACTCTTTATAACATTACTGTGGTTGTGGACAGCATAAATTGTCGTGTCGGGTTTCAGATGAACATGTAGTTTTGCTTTATAGCAAGGACATGTCTCTTACGGTCCAAGTAAATTGGTAGCTTATCATTGATTGAATTTTGTTCATTAATTTGGAGTCTATGTTCTTGGTTAGCAAAAAGTCAGGGAAAAATCTGAGATTTTTTGTTGTCTTCGTGGGTGGCAAACATGATAAAGAGGATTCATGCATGATGTATTTCTTAATTACTTCATTATCATAAAAATTAAAATTAAATTAACATAAAATTTAGCTTGCTTAACTTGGGCTCTAGTCAGGTTTTGCTGAAGAACATCCTCTTCTTTTGCATACAGGTCACTCAGAAAACAGGCCTGTTAAGACTGGTTGTCGATACTCCCTCTGATCAAACCTCTGCAGCAAAAATTGAAAGTTTCAAGGATTTACTGGAAGAAAGTGTGACAGACACCACCCCTGTTGTAAGTATACTTGTAGTTTGAGTAATTATCAAAATCAATATACACAGTTTCACCTCATTCAGTGAAATATACACATTTCTTTTATAATATCTAGATGGGAGAATAAAAAGACTACTCACTTAAGGTCAATTTCTTTTTGTTCAATGTGAGATCAAAATTAGACATTTGTACCATAGAAATGACTTAGTTAAAGCGTTTTTCCAACTGGTTGTGCTTGAGGGTTTCTTCAAGAGACTTGCAAGATAGAACCACCTTGAGTGTGCATACAGCCTTATACAAACAGTGTTACACATGAAGGTAGCAGAAAGTGGTAGAGATCAATTAAGTAACGAACTAGACTTATATAATATTGAATAGACTTTACCACCTTTTCTCTCTTTATAGCCTCAAGCCCCAAAACGAAAATTTTTGTTTAATCCCCCTCCTCAATCTGAACCAAACAGTGGCATTAAAACAGCTAAAATGGATGACACCAAACCAATGGAAAGTGAGATTGTAGCAGCTTCAACTTCTGAAGATGTTCCAATATGTTCTGGTTTTAATGATGACCCATGCAAGACCACAGATAGCGGCAAATTGCCTCCAAAAGAGAATGAAGCACGAAGTAGTGGTGAGGGAGCTGAGGCTGCCGATGAGAGCATGGCAGGATTGCAAATGCAGAATCCCCTACCAACAGGGCAACCTCCCTCCGAGAAGATCCCTGATGAGTCTCTGCCAAGGGAGCAATACATCCCTTTGGTCGAACTGATGCAGCCACCCCCTAAGCCTGCACCCCAGAGACCTCCGCCACCAGCAAAACCCAGAAAGGTTCCCAAAGGACGTAAGGGCAAAGGTTGTTATCACCAGCTGGCTGAGAGTCTTGCTGTTGAGCTGCAAGCCATCAATGAGAAGCTTGTGAATGACAAGCTACGTTCTCTGGAAGTGTCGCAGGTCAAGGAGCCAGGTGATGTACAGGAACTCCCTGGATTGGAGGAAGATTCATATGTTTTTGTTAGCCAGCAAGGTGACGACTAGGAACTTTTTAATAATTGTTTTCTTTTAATATTTTTGTCTAAGTAGCCCAGGCCAGGCTGCTTAAATAGTAATGAACACTATGTAAAGCAGAATTTAGAGTTGCTCATTTGCTATTTTCTTGTTTTACGGAGGTTTAGGTTACATGTTACAATTGGCATCAAAACTGGAGGACTGAGAATACAAACAAAAACCTCACTGAAAATGCTATAAAACTGAAATTTTAAATAACAATTAGTTTGAGTATGCTTTGACCTATAACTTGGCTCTCAAGTCTAAACCTGTCATGCAGCAAAATTAATAATCTGGGTGTGCCAAAAAATTCCTCGCAAACCTCAAGAAGGTTGAGGTTGACTAATATTGTGTTACTTATTGTTTATCAAAAGAAGTTGTTAACATTTGTACCCTTTATTGTTTGTATTTT